TCACTAACTTCTGATCTGTCACCAGTGTTTCTCAGTAAAGAAGGCCAGTCCATCATTTTGCTATATCCTGTCATTTAGCATCCAAAAGTCTGACTGTTGTCATTCCTGGATGTGAGGGGGCTGCAAACACAGGAACAGCTTTTCACAATAACTGGCTTGCTGGGAAACCTGAGCAAACAAAAAAAGGAGACAATTAACTCTGGTCACTGGCCAAAATAATTTGCCTATGATAAACAAAATAGACAATTTCCAGTTCCCACCCCCGAGCAGATTAAGACCACCTGTTATTAATTCTCTTCGAATATTTGATAGTCCTTATTCCTTGGTGTTTCTCAGTTATGCTTATTTTAGTTTTAACCCGTTCTACTTCTAACTTAGCTCTGCCTCTCTCACTCCACAATTTGGACAGGGATCTAAAACTCTGCTCTTGTTTCTCCTTAGCAAATGTTATCCTCCTTAGTGCAAAGTCTTTTCTGTTTTTCCTGGAGCAGAACCCAGCATGGAAGATGCTGGTTCTCCCACGGTAGTTCACATGCTCACAGTACCTGAGTAATGTAGCTTTCTTACCACTCTCCACTGCCTCTTGTACCCTTGAGAATGAACTTGCAATGACTAAATGAAAACCCTTCGACAAATGATTACTTAGCAAAGTTGATTATGGGGTAAAATAAGGCATATTAAGACATACAGAGATTAGCAGAAATGGGGTATTACCAGCTCTGAGGTTGAAGAGGCATCTTTGTCAAATAAGGGGAGAAATGAGAAAATGTAAAATGAATAAGTACTTCTTTTAATTGAATATCTCAATCTAGTTATCATCCTCCTCTTCTTAGTAAGTTCTTTCCAACAGCCAAAACTAGCTCCACTTCTCTCTTTCTGCCACTATTTGACCTCCTGCCATCTGTCCTGTCCTCAATTGCCCCCCTAACTGAATCCAGTCCTGAAAATAACTCTAATGATTTTCAAAATGCAAAATACAGTAAATGATTTTCAGGGTCTCTGTTTGGCATTTGACCTTGTTGACCATTCACATTTCCATTCTTTATTTCTGTTATTTCTGAGAAACACTCCCTGCTTAATTTCCTCCTAAATATGACCTTTCTTTCTTGGTTTCTTTTGCTGAATCTGCTAGTTGTGGCTACTGTTTAAGTGGTAGTGCTCCTGAAGATTCTGTCCTTGGCCTACTTCTATCACTGGGCATGATACTTCTAGCCAATGTTGTCCTTCATTATCTCAGTTGTAGTCACCATCATATGCTATGCTAATGACTCAAATTTCTGCCTCTAATTCAGCACTCATTTCAAACTTCCAGACCCCATATATTTATTTCTCAAATAAGTAAGTAGTACATTTTATATTCTAGGCACTGGGCTTTACAAAGATTAGTTCATTTAATCTCCATAACAGCCTTATGAAGTAGATATAATGAAGAAAACTGAGGTTCTGACAGGTTATGCAACTTGCCTTGGTCACACAACTCATAATTGGCAGAGCCGGCATTGATATTCAGACAGTCTGACTCCAGATCCATGCTCTTAACTATTATGTTGTCCTGTTATTGAATTATATAACATTTCAATGTCCCTGTGGTATCTCTAAGTCAATATGTCAAAACTTGATTCATCATCTTTCTCTGAAAATTGGCTTCTCTAAATGTAACCAATACTGGGCAGGCTAATATTCAGAGAATCTTTCAAAGTTATATATTAATTATTTGATTAACATTTAACTAGGTATAGAGAAAATGGAGTCAGGATGGTTTATCTGGGTCCCTCACTTCCTATCTTACCATATTTGAAGGCCACATAGTAAACAACATATGTTATTAGTTGTATTGTGTTTATGTGCTTGCTATGTAATTATGACCTTGCTGTTTCACACCATTGTATGTAATGTGCATGTGTGACAGTTTGGTTTTGTCAATGAGTCACCATTGTCAACAGTCCCTTTAAAAGAAAGGGAGCACCTGGTCAGTAACTAACTAACTCTGCTCAGCTCAGCCTTGATTCAACTTGCTCAGTCCTGATGGTCTTGGCTTAGCTTGACTTGACTCAGCCTTGCCTCTGCTCAGGTCGGCTCCTCACTATGAGTTTCAAGAGGGAGGACCCTGCTCTGCTAGTGTTCTTCATGTGCATTACAAGCACCAAGAGGTAGGAAACACTTTGTGAGTGCTTCTGTAGGTCTGCCAACTCCCTTTGAATTCAGCAATAAACAACATGACATTAGTTCCTCGCATCTTTTTTCCAACTCTCTGCATCTGGTTGACTCACCCTTCAGAGGAGGAAAGAACCTCACAAAACATTAGTATATTGAAAGAAATAGATAAAATAAGCATCATATACTTGTATTTCTATGATAAAGATCTTTTTCTCCATGACACAATATAACATTTTGATGTTTTCCAAATTGTCTTTTATTTCCTAATTATTCCATCGCTCATAAAAAAATGACCTATGTGTATGAAATTTTGTTTCAATGGATGTTTATGGTCTTTTAAATAAATATATTTAAAAGTTTTTATTTTTTTAATTTGTATATTAGCAAAAAACTCTATCACCACTTCTTGGATGATAACATTTTAAATAGATAATACCAGATAAATCAGATGGTATTTGACTTGGATGTTTCTAGATCCAATAGGGCAGGCACTCTCCTTACTTATGTGCTAAAGTCTTAAAGTGAACCAAAATTACTATGGAAATAAACTTTGTTAACATGTCAATGCATGTTTTATCCATCTAGTCTGTACAAGCTTGTAGGTAAATTCTTCTTAATGAGCCATTCTAAATACTTCTGAAACCACAAACAATATTTACAAATAACATTCCTTAGCACTTTTTCTATAACATTTGAAACACAGAGTCAGTTATAATTAGAATCTTGAGGACAAATAAATTCACTGTTCACTTTTTGTATATATTCCCTTCAATATAATTTGGTTTCACATTGCTAACTTAAGTGGAATGGGCCACCTAGCAAGATTATAGTAATGTCAGCAATTAGTCAAATATTACTTTGCTGATGCAAGTAATAGTTTCAGTTCTATAAAAAGAACACTTCCAATCCATCAACTTTTAGTGACAGGCTCTTGAAACTAATTGTATGCTATAGCAAAGGTTAGATGTTACTCTGGTGTTTTTCCCCCCTCTCAAATTCAAAAACATTTCTAACAAAATGGGATAAATATAGAAATTTTCACTTCTACCCATCAGAGCAGAGTACATGTTCTAAAATTAAAAACAAAAATACCTTAGTAAGTTTCCTCTACATTTTTGCAGTTTTTGTCATTGCTTTGATTTTTTTTTTCACACTTGTTCAAACCAGGTAACCCCTTGGTGGACATATCGTTTAAATTTTAATTGCAGAAGAATTAACATAATAAATCACATGTTCCAGGTAAGCAGCACTCCCATGCTTTGGTTGTAGTAATAGGCCTGTAATAGGACCAACAGGACTGCTCAGTCATGATGGGCTTAGCTGAGCTTGGCTTGGCAATTACTGCTGCCAGTAGTAATTGACAGTAGGTGCTGGCTTCAAGGGACTCTCACAGACCTACTTTCAGGTTTGGAGATAAGACGTGTAGTTGCATGATGCAACCTACCTTCATGCTTTCCATTATTACTTACCAGGGAGCGCTTCATCCATGAAGAGCTATGTTTCTTTTTCCTCCGGTGCTTTTTGGTTTAGCATGATTGGGACCAATTTACCTGAAAAACAGCAATTTAAGTGGTTGCCTGTGGAAACCTGAGTCATTAATTGGCACCATAGGTATGGTTTAGTATCTTTGATAGATTGATGCCTTATGCAGTTCCTTGCGGGTCCGACTGGTAAAGTAGCTTTGCCATCTTCTTACATGTGGACTGTATAGACGATCCAACCATCATTTTCCAAGACAGAAACTGTGGACTTATCAAAATTCCTATCTGTCTCTTAACCTCCTTCCTACATTCTACATATTATCACACTTTGGACTCCCCTTCATCCTCCCTCCCCCATTGCACACCAACCTATATCCCTCATTCAGAGTGGTTATGTACAGCTCCCTCTCCTCTCCCCTCAACTCTAACTGTAAAGCACAAATGTTGCCTTATTTTTCTTTATCTCCAATCCATAGGGTATTTTGTGGCCTATAGCTAATTTTTTAAAAATGTCCATTAAAGCAAAACATGAATGCGTGTGTACATTCTGAGATGACACTAGGAAAATTCTCCAAAAGACAATAATAGGCATGAGGAGAGATGCTACACAGTTATTTAAAAATAAACTCATTTGTAGAACATTTAAAATAACCATAGCACTTCTTCCAAAGATGCAAAAATCAACAATATGTAACTCATGCTACTTTGGTGATTTTTTTTTTATCACTAACAACATGTAAAAACAGATACACCCTCTTTAACTTAGACTTGGATTGTCCATAAAGTTTGGTTCCTCTATTTCAGAAAATGACTTTCTCAATAGATGTTAACCATTTTTGGTACAAAGAATTCAGAATCTTCATATATGTAAGAAATGTTTAAAGTAAGCAAAAATTATAAAATAAACTTTGTAACACATAAATACATGTGTTTTGTTTGTTTGTTTGTTTTGCCATAGGGTATAAGCATTCCCAGGAGAGAGCCGAAGAGAGAAAGTGAGAAATCACCATCCAGCAGGGATGACCATGCCACAAGCAATCCCCTCTCCTCCACTCTCCCTTTAGAATTTTGGGCACACATATACATGTGCCTGGTATGTTTTTCAAGCCACCAGGTCCGGAACTCAAACTACCCTCAATCTCACAATGTGAAACTCAGTACCCTAACCACCTTGCCATCTGCTTGTCCTCACATAGTACAAGTTTTATCAGCTTCACTTTTTCACTAAATTTATGAGGAATGCAAAACAATCTAGCAAATGGAGAATCAACAGTGAACACAAAATAGGGCTTCTTCTCTTTTAAATTTTCAGTCTTTTAACAAAACATTTCTATCCAACTTCTTTTTACCTTAATTATTCCTTTCCTTAATCCATTAAGTGCCAAACTCATATTCTAGGTTCTTATCCTACATGATGTTTACTCTTCTTTTTTTTAAAAAAAAAATCAATTTGACAGATAAATATTGTCAGGTCTAAATTCTTGGTAAAAAATTTCTTTGTAAAAACTTAAAATATGGGGCTATCATTTGATGTGATGGTTAAGGTGCTGGATTCCCTCATGGCTGGCCCCTGCTCAAGTCCCAGACCAGGCAGATTAAAAATTATGCTGGGCATGTGTGCGTGCATGCCCAAAAATCTGAAGAAGAGAATGGAGGAAAAGAGATTATGCCATGGCCATCCTCCCAAGGGGGTGATTTCTTACTTTTCCTCTCCCTGTCTTTATCTTTCTATCTTTGGTGAGCACACATACGCAATGGAAAACAAACAAAAACACTTCTAAAAAAGGCTTTCTAAAAAAAACTTAAAATGTTACCTCTTCACAATTAAATCTATACTTTTTAAACTCAGAAATAATATTGAAATAATATTACTATATGCCTACTTAGAAGCTTATCTTTTCAATGAGTACTTTGAATATTTAATATTCCATGACTATTTAAGATGGTAACTCTAAGGTATTTTTACATACCTATAAATAGTAGAAAAACTATTAAAAATAGACGTTTATTTTACATAGTTATTGAAAATCCAGATTTTTATCAAGATATCAATTCTTCAGCTTTCCACTTTACCAACTTCAGCATATTAAAGTATGCTAAGCTATGCTGCTATGACAAATAAACTTTGACATAGAATTTTAACATAAAAAAATGTAGTCAGTGGGCTGGGGTAGTCTTTTAGAAACCAGGGGGACTTCTATTTTATCCTCATTAGGTAGCCAAAGTCATGTGAGAGATCACTCATGAAGATCCTATGGCCAGAAGTAGAAGTGTGAACAATGAGTGAACCATGCTCCTTTAGCCAGAAAGAATCCAATCGCATGTCCTTTTACATCTAATTAGTCACATTAACACTTCTACTGCAAAGGCATCCAGAAAGTATTCTTTTCGTAAAGAACAGTAAGGAAAAAGATATGTGATAAGTCACTAGCAACATCTACCACTGTGTTATCAATGCTGAAGAATGCATAGTTTCAGCCTTTCATGTGCTTATACTATTACAGTGTGAGAGAAATGCTACATTATGCGTATTACAGCAGAGATTTCAGGAAAATGACATAGAGTTTTACTACATAGAGCAGCTCGCTCTTTCTGGAGAAATTAGGGAAGGCTTGACAGAGAATACAACATCTACGTTGGACATTAATGAAAAAATTTGTTTTGTGTAAGGTACAAAATAGGGTTGGAAAGGTAAGATAATGTCATATTATAACTGGACTTGGATTTTTTACTGAAGAATTGTCTACCATTGGAGTATTACCTGAAAATGTCAGTGGGGGGAGGGTGGTCATATGGTCATTGAGTAATTGTTGCTATGGGTGGATTATATGACCTTCCAGCTTGAGAGTGCTAAAATTCAGGAGACTCACATTCTTAATTATAAAAAAGAAGTGAGGAAGAAGAAAAGAGGTATGTAGGGCAGGGAGGCTGAGACCTGTTTTACCTCTAAGGTGTCTGATAATGACATCTAGCATCATATAAAACAGATCTTAAAATAGAGCTTCTGCTTTTCCTGAGAGGAATCACTCCGTTTGGGTAATTAAAGCCTAAGAATAATCTCCTTGTCAACAAGCCTAAAACACTTCCATACATTAGTTTTAGCTTTATTCACAGTGGTTAATCTTCTGAAGGCCATGGAGTTCTTGGGAAACAAAGAATAGCTCTGAACCTTTGCCCCCAAAAAGTATACATATCCACAAAACCCACATATAATTTTATTGGTTCAGAGGACTCATTTGAGTGTTTGCAGGGACTTACAAATTAAGAACTCTCAACCTACAGCAACTTTAAACAAAGCCTACTTACACTTCAATATTAAAGCTATCAAATATTTTAAAACAGTTTTCATTTATTTATTAAAAACTGATATAGCCTTACTATGGTCATATACTATGTTAGGCAGTTTATTTTTAATGTATGTAATTAGCATAGCAACACTACGTGCAAATGCAATGTGTTTTTCCCCTTTTCCAAATGAGGAAAGTGAAGCACAGGAAGGTTAAATAACTTGCCCAAATTCTCAGAGCTACTAAGTAGAAGAATGAAGATTGGAAAATAGACAATTTGGCTCCTGAGCCTATGCATATAGCCCTATGCCTTATTGATGTTTAACTTGGAAAAGAGAAGTTTTACTTCTTTCACTGTATTTATGTTTCATAATTTACAGGCTCCTCATTTTTCTCTAGACAATGTAACTTGACAATATTCTTTTAAAATGTGTCACCCTAGTCCCAAACCCTATAAATGTACTGGTATAGCATCACAGTGGATCAGTTTTTTTGACAGCCACAAAGGGGCCATTCAGACTGGGAGAGAAGGACAGGATGAAGAAAGAGGCCTATGGGTCTTCTTCAGCTTCACACTGTTCTGGGTCCTCTGGGCAAGGGTTGGAAGTAGCTTCAGGGATGGATATATCTGCAAGACTTTGTTATGTAATATCCCAGGCAAAGTCATGCATGGATTCCTTTCCTCTCAGAATGAAACCTATCCCAGGCTCCCAGTAATCGTTCCTCAGGGAATTAAATAGTCCCTAATTAAGAACAATGTTACTAAATCCTAGCCTAAACCACAAAATAACCACACTTGAGAAAGCCATACTCCTAAATGAAGAAGGGCTGTTAATCTATGCTGACACCTTTAGCTTGGTTTTATTTTATTGGAAGGATTTTATAAGGGCTATTATCTCCTGGTTTACATAATCCTATACTTCCCTTAATGCAATGTGAATTGAGATTCATAGGAGTTTGAATTTACAATCTTATGCAGCTGGCAGGGCTGGGGCTCAAAATTCAAGACCACAAAACACCACACTCATAGATACATACTTGGGAAGTTAGAGTTTGGTGGGGAGTTCCTGGGATGTGATCCATCAAATTGTCTGAGGTGAGGTGTTTGGGAATTTGTACTACAAGCGAGTCTAAACTTCAGCTAATTTGACTTAAAGGTTCCATGACCTCTCTTAAATGGGAGACTCCCTCGCTCCAGCACACTTACCCTCCATCTTTGTCTGTTGCTAATAATTTAGCCAGCGACAAGGTATGCTTAAAGAGCAACTTTTTTCTGCTACAAACATGACTTCAGTCCAAGTATTTAAGCACCTGAACTCAAGTGAGGATAATAAATGTCAGAGGAATATTTATAGCTTGGTATATGGAGACTTTCCAGGTCCCTGCTCTGCAATAACACAGATCCATCTGCTAAGGGCATTAGAGATGTGTGTTTTGCCTTTATTTTTTTCCAAGTTGATAGGTTCTGAAAGTAGAAAACTGTAATATCCAAAGACGGACATTGATTTTAACCCTTTCCTACTCAAATAATTATTGAATTAAGAGTTAATTATCAAGGGCATGGTTTCTCCACAATTCCTGATTGTTGGATGCAAGCCCAGAAGAAACTTTAGCTCAGTCTTACATAAGTCCCTGTCATCATTGTGCTGATAGATCTACCTGAGGATTTACTGTATAGTTCTCAGACCTTGGGGACCTAGGGTTAGTCCATTCCCTAATCTATCGTTGAGATTATGGTTGTTTTTACTGCTATACTATAAACATGGTTACCACTGGTACTAT